AACACACTTGTTTCTGTCCTCTGAACTTTTGTCAGTGTAGTATTCATGAAGCCACATTATTATTAAGCGGTGGATATTTGTTTTTAAAATCACACTCAAAAAAGATTGCAAAACGTCAGTCGAGTGAATAGATCCCACACTTCCAAACCACCAATTTTGCACAGCTGCTGCCGGGAGATCTTTAGCACAATCCTAGTTTTATTAAAGAGAGTTCCTTAAAATAATAATTTCATGTATTCTAAATTTTGTTGTCGTAAAAACAGGAGTCTGCCAATTATGTATTTAGAATACATATTATCTAGAATAAGCACTTTACCTATTAGAAATTTCCGTTCTGTGCTGCGCTTGATACCCTACTCTGTGTAAATTGTATTGTACCTCTTACGCATTATTTCTAGGTATTTCTAGAGGGTGTGTATAACCTAACTCTTTAATTATTTCATCTGCATTTAACCGAAAGATAACCCATTCACACACAGGATAACAGATGCCTACGAAAAACGGACTCCCAGAGGTAAAAATCTAGGACAGCCCATGTCTATCCAAATAAACTTCGGTGTTGTTCCTGTTATGTTTTTGTCTTTGTAAGAATTCGCTCGCGGAAGTAGTATTGAAAAACGAACATGCTGACCTTTATTTTCAAAATGTAATTATCTGTTAAATTAAATATCCTCTCGGGAGGAACAATGCGGTAGTTCGGGTCCAAGCTGTGTGGTTTCTGAATTTGGATTTCTTCCTAATGCAATTATCAATGTAATCACATCGCGGGACGTGGATGGATGAAAAGAGGTGACTGGATTAATTGAAAGAGAAGGGTACAGATTTCAGGTCAGTTAGAGGGTGGGAACGAAAATGGTACTTTATAATTTGAAGCTGTGGTTGTTTTCCGACTGTTTTGTAATAACCACGAAATATTAAACCAAGTTAAACCAACAAGCGACGATCCCTCTTCACGTAATTGTAATTAACTGGTTATTTAAGTAAGGTGTGAATTCAGTCGTCGTTTACCTTACGGTTGAAAATCTTACTTTAAAAGAGCATTCAGATCTTAAAATGCGAAGTTTGTGAATCCGTCTTTGGAATGGTTTTGGTTTCTTGTAAAAGTTACGAACAACGTTTTAAATACTTTTCCAAATGATAAAAACAACAACGCATGAATACCCTGTAGAGAAAAATCATAATACTTTACACCAATTTTCCTGGTGTTACATTTTTATGATTATTTGCGATTTCTTATCAAGGGCGGATTTTTGTAACATTGTAAAGCAGTAGTTTGTCTTGAGGTACCGGTGCTCCTGACCTGCGCTGTTTTTCATCGGATTCTACTTCATTCAGAATAATACAATTGTGAAATGGAAACTGTTAACATTAATCCCTTGTAACTATTTTATCTAAAAAAGTAAAGGGAATTTGAATATCATTTTATTTATTATTAATGTTTTCAGGCTCTGTGAACTGGATGTCTAACAATATAAAGCTTTGAATGGTAGGAATTAACTTTCGTCTATAAACAATGCTGCTTATTATTACGGGTTATTACCAAAACATGTTTTTTGACAATCTTACCATTAAAAAAAAAACCAAAACACATCTAAACTATAAATTATAAAGATTAAAATGAACTTCTTAAACTTTGGAAAATCCTAATGATTTTCTTCAGTTTGGTTTATCGGCTTAGCGTCTAATTGTAAAACCTGGATCTCTCTGCCATCTGGTGGCCATGTGCAGTATTACAACCTCAGCTTGACAGTATCAAGACCATCCGACCCCCTCTTGCTTTGTCACAGGAAAATGTTAACTCAGAATAACTGAAATATCTCTAAAATCGATTTGTAATTATTCTCTTTTTTTCTGATCTTTAAAACACCAAAATGTTTTTAAAAAGACTTAAAAATTAGCACATACTGTAGTCTAAAGTTCTAGCAGCTTATGAAATCTTAGTTATGTAAGCTGTACAGGGAAACATTTAATTTTATTTATTCCTTTAAACTAGTATTTCAGCTCTGGCGTATCCAAGTTTAAATATTGCACAGGAACAAACTTTGCTTTTCTAAAGCTTGTCAAATCTGTTCCAACTGGCCAATCTCGATATAGGGCTAGTTTTTAACTCTTTATATTACTTTAGTAGTTTAATTACTTATTATTTTGTGTGAAAATCACTGCTCTATATCAATACATTTCAAGCTGTGGTGTTTGGTATATCAGTGCTTGGTGAAGCCCATCTTGCCAGTCTAAGATATAAGTTTTTTGCTTTTCAAACCAAATAGCATCAGCCTTATAAATCACTCTTTATGAAAACTGCAAAGAATAGTAAACAAGGCACTACATATTGATGATATCCTTCTGATGGGGACAGATTTTAGAGTGGATGGAGTTTCTCTTTGTGTTAATTATATTTTCAGTATTTGTTATAATTCTGAGACTGATGTCTGTGTCTTCGGTGGCTTCTGGAATTTCTACATGTATCTGTTGTGTATACATGTCTTCCTTCCTATTGGGGAAGAGATAAGATCCCATACCTTATCAGCTCATGGGGTGTAGGTAGCCAGCTTCCAAGGTATCGGAATCAGGAAGGTTAGACGCTCAGACCTCATCAGGCTCTACAGTTTAAAAAAGGAAGAAATGAGTCTATCACAAGACACAGAAACATCAGGTCTAACGGCTTTTCATAAGAAGCTTTTATTGCTTTATGTCCAGCTCTTATAGCTCTTAAGATGTAATGAGGGTTTGAAATGAAAAACGGCTGAAACATATTCGTGCTAAATCATATAGGAATTCTACCACTGCCATTTGAATCTTCAGTCTTAACAGGCCTGGTTGCTCACAGCTGGGCTGAACCTGAAACACAGAGATGACTTTGGTTTAGAAGTGTCCACAGAAGTGTGTTGGAATGAAAGGCTGTTTTGGCCGAGAGCTGCTCACCTCAGAGATGGACCATCTGTCCAGCAGCAATAACTCCTCAGTCAGCAAACATCATTAAAAAGCCCCACTTGAGACAGGACCTAGAATCAATGCAATATCTGTTCGCTGCTCGTCACCTTGACAGCAAATTTGTGGCAGACTTACGAGCTTCAAAAAGTATTGACAACCAGCCGTTTACCTTAATCGCTGGACTGCTTGGTCCAATATCTCTCCTTCTGTCACTGTGCTTTTTCTAAAAATGTGGATTGGATTTTGTTTGAGAAACAACACGTTACTGTTTCAAGTCATAGTAACCTTATTTTATTCGATCGTGTCTACCTCAACTTATCATGTTCGTAACCTCAGTGTAACCAGCAATTTAAAAATTAAAAACAGTGGGCCTCAGAAGCTCATGTACAAATGTTTCTCGTCTGTAAGCTGATGGTAAAATTACAAAGAAAACAGAGGAAAATAAGTTTGGTTCTATTGCTAGTTATATATTTTGTCTAAGGGACAGTAACACTTTCTACATTCATAGGTAATAACACTAAAAAGCTGTAAAAATCTGAAATGTATGCTGTCCTGTTTAGACAGTATGTGCATATTTGATTTTTCCGGTACACCATGTAAAACAGCCGTCTCATGTCTCATGAAAGCCCAGTTTTCTAGGTCACCCTAAATCATTCATTTCGAAACATTGGGAATGCTTGTAAGTTATTAATTAATCACGTCACACTCAATTCAGGGATTTTGCCCACGAGGCCTGGAGAATTTGTTCCAAGGAATCTGGATAATTTATTTGCAGTTGACCTGGAGTAATTTCACAACGTGGTGATCTGATGGCTCCTCGCCTGGAGCCAGTGAAGAGCCAGGCTGGAGATGCTTCCTTTGTAACTGAAGTGTGCCCTGCTGTTCCAGATGCTGCCCTGATGCCTGTCAAGCCCCATATTGAACACTGCCGCTCCCCTGACATGGAGACCTTCACCTGCTGGTGGAGCGCAGACAGCAACGCCACAGAGGGCCTCAGCAACACCACCTACACACTCACCTACACCATAGGGTGAGAGGAGCACACGGGCAGGGGCCTTCCCACAGCTGCAGGGAACACAGGGAGAATACCCCTCACTGACCCTACCCCAGCCTCGGAACTAGGCCTCGAACCCTGCTAGCGCGGTGTACAAATACACGCCTTCCTGTTCGCGGGCGCTGCTGCTCGAAACGCACTGTTCACATCAATAACGAGAG